TCCTTCCTTCCTTCCTTCCTTCCTTCCTTCCTTCCTTCCTTCCTTCCATCCATCCATCCATCCATCCATCCATCCATCCATCCATCCATAGTGTTCACTGATTAAACTGCAATATTGCAGGCTAATTCTGCCCTCTGCCAGCAGTTTGATCCTGAGCAGCTCAAGGTTGACTCAGCCTTCCCTCCTTCCATGGTTGAGGAACCAGATTGTCGGGGGCGATAGGCTGACTCTGTAAACTGCTTAGAGAGGTCTGTAAACTCTGTGAAGTGGTATACAAGTCTAAGTGCTATTGTTATTTTTTGCAAAAGAGGGGAAAATAAAGATCAAATGTAGCGACGTTTTCTGCCTGCACTTTGCCTGGGATGCAACCCCGATGATTCAGAGCTTGCTAAATATAACCGGGGAACCCTTATTAAAGGATCAATCTCTACACCTGTGAAAGAACGTAAGCCCTCAAGCCCTAATCAGTATCTTGGTTTACGCGTGCGGTTGGTCTGTTTTATGCCCCTATTTGGGGGCAGGATCCAAGTCACTAGAGTGGTGCATCTCTCAATCCATAGGAAGGCCAAGTTCTAGACCTCGTTTTGTACCAAGACACCAAAAGAATTCTCAGCTCACCTTGGCTAGGCTGGGAACAGAAATGGTAAGTGAATCAGTCCTGCCAATTTTGATTGGGAGGTGAGAAATCACACATGCTCGAACCTTTTTTTACAGGATTGAGAAAGGCCCTGCATTTTTGAACGGCGAGACTCATGCCAGTTTGAGCATCAGGGCACGAATTTGATGCGAAAGAAAAATTACCTTGTAGAAAAATGAAGTACCAGAGCAACCTCAAAGTTATTCCTCCATCCATCATTCTCATGTTTCTCTGGTTTCTGTTTCTAATTATGATTTGGGGTTACTTGACTCCCCTTTCTCAGCTGTCAGAATTCAGCGAGTTCTCGAGAGGCAGGGATCTCCTGCGAAATGAAGAAAGTGGGAGAAAAGCCAGCGAAGTTTGCATTAAAATAATGCATGGTGTTTTGCTTGCTTTTCGAGGTATCGGAAAACATACATTTGACAATGGAGTTCCCGCTTTGGGATGACCTGGGGCGTGGCACACAAGCAACACAGTCAAATAGGCAAGAATACCTCCAACTTTGCCCCCAATATCCAGGTTACCTTCAGCTGGAGAAAAAAACTCCCAAGAACAGTCTTTGAATGGAGGAAATTCAGTCCGAAAACAAAGTACATCCAAACTGTAACTAATAATCCACACAAACCACACTGCAGCAATTAACTGGACAGGGCAGGAGAAGGAACTACAGACTTGAAAGGCCAGCAAAACACACACAGTTGGGGAGACGCCAGGAACCCAGATAAGCCTCGACAATAACAGATAGCTCACGATTTGCTTCCAACTTTGCTGTGCGTAGCTTCCCTTGTTAAACACTGTTCCCAGCTGCAGCTAATGAAGGGAATCAGGGCCCCTTTCTCCCCCGTAAGCCACACAACCCACGTTGCTCTCTTCTCCGTTCCTCCCTACGTGCCCTAGGATGAAGAGGGGGTGGGCCTGGGTCTTCCTCCAAATTCCCTCTCCCTTGTCCTACCTCTGCCCTGCTCTGCACAGCTGGACTTTGTCCTTCCCCAGTTTCTTCCACAGACGATGGAGCCACACACCTGTCAACTGCTCAGCCTCCCCCTCAGAATCCGGGGCATGACACGCTTAGTTCTTTGTCTGAGATTCAGTGGAGAAGCATAAGTCAGCCTGTAGAAGTTGCTATTAACCTGGCAAACCTAATTTATTTTGTTCTCTCCAAGTCATTTGGAAATGCATTTTAGGTAGCAAGTTACTTTTCTGCTGTCCTGGGTCCCTCGTGAACTCCAGCTCCCATTAGTCCTACACCTTAGCAATCAATAAACATCTTAAGTTTAATGTGTGATGTCTTTGGCTTTGTCATTTGTGTGGCATGTTGCTGTTTGATAAGAAACCTTGTTTGCATCACATCAACCATCGTTGATTCGGGTTTTGGAATTCTGGAAAGCAGTGAAAAAAACTGACGCAGCATTTCCTGGAGGTACAAGGTGATTTTCTCCAGATTTTTAACTTTTATTTCACTCATGGTCTTTTTCCCCCTTTCGGGCCATCACTCTACTGAACACCTGCTTCTCACAGTACCCTCTATGCATATTTTACCCATGCAGTATGGCCGTATTATTATTATCATTATTATCTTCTTTACTGCCCCCTCTTATTGGTGGTATTATTGTTATTATTCTGCTTTGCATGTATACTGAGAGCTTCAGCGCTGGAGACAGATTCCTTGTGTGTCTAATCACACTTTGACAAATAAAAGCTGTTCTATTCCCGTTCTCTATTCTCTTCTATTCCTTCTATTTTCTATTCTGTTCTTCTTATTTTCTATTTTATTTTATTTTCTATTCTATTTTCTATTCTATTCTATTTTCTATTCTATGTTGTATTATTTTCTATTCTATTCTATTTTCTATTCCATTCTCTGTTCCATTCTCTATTCTCTATTCTATTTTCTATTCTATTCTTCTGTTTTCTATTCTGTTCTATTTTCTATTCCATTTTCTATTCTATTTTCTATTCCATTCTCTATTCTATGTTCTATTCTATTCTTCCATTTTCTATTCTATTCCATTTTCTATTCTATTCTCTATTCTATTTTCTATTCTAATCTTCTGTTTTATATTCTGTTCTATTTCTATTCCATTCTCTTCTATTTTCTATTCTATTCTACTCTATTCTATTCTCCTTCCTTCTCTGCTTCTACTTGTCCCAACCTTCTCCTTCTCCTTTCCCTTCTCCTATTCCATTCCATTCATTTGATTTCTCTCTGTTCTTGCCAACCATCAAGTGTGTTGAAGACAGCCCATGCCAGTAGAGAAACGCAATAAAATACAGACATAAATATACACATTCAACCAATGAATAATAAAGTTACTGTTTTAAAACACAACAGTTCTAAACGCCCTAGAGTAAAGACTTGGCTTGTAAACCTTTTTATAAAAGAGGACTAGAAAAGCCACAATAGGTGACTTCTGCAGTGTGAAAAAGATTCAGGAATGTGTCTAATATCTTTTGTCTCTAAAAAATAATGACATCTTGAGAAGACCTTAGCCAAGATCATGAGCTGAGATAGCTCCTGATCTTCTGTTGAAATAGGTATGTCTTCTTAGTCTTCTTGTCTTCATGTATATGGCTGGAGGAAACCAGTCCTTGTTCTTTCTTGGGTCTTTGGAAGAACACCTGCACAGCTCCATCAGAACTCCTGGATTCACTTGGTTCTGAGAACCTAAGACGTTAGAAACTGGAAGAATGTATGTAATCATTCCAGTTAATAATCTGAATAGTAATTCAGATTTTTGCCTTGAAATTCTTCACCCCTTTTATCATTCCTCCCCCTTTCCACCTTCGGTTAAAAGAACTTTGTCAGTTGCACAGATTGTAATTGAACGGTAGAGGGCATCTGGACTCTTTTCCCTTGCCTCAAAGACGTGTCCATTTAGTCTCCTTGACAATAGCATGGAGTTGATTTGCCGTTGTCCAGAAAGACGTCTCACCCATCCACCAGCCCAGACTTTTCAGGCTATCAGACATCCATGACAAAGTAAGTCAGCTCCAACTTGGTTTTTTGGACCAGTGAAGGTTTAACCAGGAGCTACCATCTACTGTAGGCCTTCATTCATTTTGACCGATTCAAAATACAATCATATCGAAGCAAGCTAT